GAGTTATAAGAGTAACTGAACTTGAAAAACTAGATATCCTATGAAATTGTTTCAGGAGACTTTATAAAATTTCAACCAAAAGCAATTCTGGCTGCTCGGTCAATTAAGGGTTAATGTTTCCTCATAAGGAATGGTTAATTAACCATTTCCTCATAAAGAAACAGTTAATTATTATTACTATAGATGAAATTGAAGATAGAATAGGCTTTAGTAGGGATAGTTTCACCCAACACCACACGATGCTACAAAACCAAAAACATTAACTTAGTCCCCCGCCCATCAATACTGGAAAATCAATAACAGATACTGAACTTGAGAAATTGGTTTCACTAAGATATTGTTTTAAGTGAAAGATTTTACAAATTTCAACCAAAAGCAGTACTGCTCAGTCAATGAATGCCAAATGTTTCCTTCTAAGGAAACAGTTAATATTACCATTACCTTTTGAGATGAAGAGAACAGATACTACACTTTGATCTCAGGCTGATATTTAACAATCCCCCCACGAGGAATGTATGTGGCACAAGGCCAAGTTTAACGTGGGTTTTTCCAAGCCCATAGGCTTGGCCATAATATTCCCTTAGAACCTACATAAGCAGGTTCGGGATCTGTCTACCTCCCTGGATGAAACTTTGCCCTTTGGCAAAGTTTCATCCGGGTTCCTCTCTGCCAAAGCAGAGAGTTCAACAGAAGTCGCAGACAGTCAGAGACTGTGTATTGAGTGCCTTAACGCAATCATCAGGCCAGGGAGTGCAGAAAAGCATAACATGAATAGCACTGGCTGCTCAGTCAATGAATACCAAAGATCTCCTTGTAAGGAAACAGCTAGTATTACCATTACCTTTTCAGATGAGAACAGATACTACACTTTGATCTTAGGCCGATGGCCAGGGAGTGCAAAATGAATAATACAAAGCACTGGCTGTTCTGTCAATAAATGCCCAAGGTTTCCTTGTAGAGACAGTTGATATTATCATTACAATGGTGCTTTTTAAAATTATTAAGCCTAAATATTCAACAGGGCAATAGGAGATTCTCTATGGGTATTTTACTATCAATGACATTGCAATCATTAAATTAAGTATTATGATTCCCAGGAAAATTCAAATAGGGAAAACATTAAAAACTTTCACGGGTACTGATCATAAATAATGAAATGACAAATAAATAATGGCAAAAAATAAACTACATTCAGATTTCTTTTCTGTTTCTTTCTTTTTGCACAACGAAGCTAATCAGAGCAAGATAATCTATTTTTAACTCGTCTTTTTTTTTTATATTGCAATCCATGATAACAGTCTTAAATAAGAGAGTATTTTTTTTTATACAGTTCAGTGGTTAGAACAGAGAACTGAAGGCTCAAATTTCACTAGAGTTTTCTGTCTTGTTTTTTTTCTGTCATAATGCTCGTAGTTCTGACTACTAATAATTCCAAGGAAAAACACTGGAACAAAAGATTAGTGAAGAAACTGTTTAATCACATGGATTAATATTACAATAATAGTAAATACTGTAGTTATTGCAGTAATGCATACAACACACTTTGCGACTACTTTCCTATGAGTAGACATCCTACACATAGTGAGTAGCTGAGTCCATATCCAACAATTAGTATAGAACAGATCGGTTGTCTTTCTACACATTTTTTAAACCCATAACATTCTAGGGTTGCAGCGGCACTATATGTACTGTCACAGCAGTAGCAGTGGTGTTTCTTATCTAAGAGCCTGACCCTCTCCAGGCTGGTTTTCAAGTTTTTCCTTCTCCTAGACTGGTTGCCACCCAAGGTTTTAAGACCGAACCTGTCCTGCTATTTATCCATAACTAGGGGAGAAGACATGGATTCATACTTTTCCCAAGGGTAGTTGCACGTAAGTGAATTTGATGAACTTGACTGGAATTTGAACCCAGCCCTCCGATTTCTCAATCCGCTATTCATGATGCCACTGTGCCTCCACTTGTCTAAGTTGGGAAAAGGAAATAGCACGGGGATTTAATTAAAAAAAAAAAAAAAGAGAGAGAATGCCATTTGAAGGGAAATATAATTAATTTTCCATTAAAAAAAAAAAAAAAAAATGAAAAAAATTCAATTAAACTTAACTCTATCGTAAAAAAAAAAAAAAAAAAAATGGCAAACACATTTCATTTTAACAGAACTCATGCATATTTCACGATTCAAGGAAATACAAAAAGTGACCTTCTGTGAATACCCCCCCACCACCACCACGCAAGTCGTCATACATTCCTTTATATAGGATGGGAATAATTCTTGACTAGCACCATTTATTTTAGCACACCAAATTACACAGCACTTATTTCGACTAACCATGTTACTTAGAACGATTACTTCGCTACTTACGTTAATACAAAAATAGCCTTAGTTGATAATATAATTTAGTGCCTTTTTATAGCCATTTGTCACTTATATAAGATGGCTATAAAAGGCGCTGTTGATTATTTACCACTAACTTAAGTACTACGCAGTGCATTGTTTGCATCAAATGACAATAATTGTAAGTAAAATGAGAGACTAAAATAAGTAACCACGTAATCGTTTTAAGTTCTCTGAATTAGTGCTCTATTTTAGGTTCGCAATTTCATCGTAATTTTTTTTAATTTAAATCTTATTATTCCCAAAACTTTCTCTGCCTAAACAGTAAACACTGATTAACCTCAAGAAGGGGGTTCAGACCAGGGGAATAAAGGAGGTATAAATCGTTTGAAATGCTAGCTAAACTTAAGAATAGTTTTTTTTTTTTTTTTAAACGGGGGGGTTGTTAAAAATTAATTCTCCAGTTAGGAATTTTTTTTTTTTTTTCGCAATGCGGGAATATTTTTTTTATGTTCTCAGCGACTATTTGTAAAACGGCCTGAGTGGAGTTCTTTTTTTTTTTACGGCTTATCAACACTGTGTGGGTTATTTAAGCCGAAACATCTTTCGGACGGAACAGAAAAACAGTGAGTAACCCTATCTAACAAGTTAGTGAAAAAAATGGATGTCGGAAGAAGAGGCAATAAGGGGGGAAGAAAGAAAAGAAAGCAAACAATGCTAAGAAGAGGTACAAAGAAAGGAATGACAGGAGGAGATAGAGAACCATGTTCGCCCACGTCCTGAAGAAACATAGTGCACAAAAGAAGAAGATAGCATTATTAATTAATCGTTTTCATTTATTTCATTATTTTTTAATTTAATTTTTTATTTTTTTCGAGGGCAGGATCCAAACTGGCTGGAAGATGACAGTTTGTTTCTCCCGAACAAGAAGGGATAAAAAAAAAAGATGAAAGGAAAAATAATTTCCGCAATATAAAAACTAAAAACAGAAGATAAATCAACATTAAGCATGGTTTTCGGAAGTGTGTGTAGTTATAACCACATTGTAAATGTAAAAAAACCTACAGGAGATTTACAGGCGCAATAACTGCTTTTCTTCGATTTGAAATAAATTCGCGCGCACGTGTGTGTTCGTTTCTTTTCCTCCCGTGCTTGCTTCTCCTTATTATATATGTATGTGTGTATATATATATCAGAACAATAGAAAAATCTATGAAGTCCTAAAGGCCGAAATGCGTCACACGAAAATTTTCCCCCACTTTGTCATAGGATTTTATTTTTAATGATAAAAAAAACAAAAAAAAAAATAAGAGATATTTAGTTTTCTCAATGTAAATCTTAAATTAAAAGAAAAAAATAAAATAATTTTCTATTTTGTTCAATTCAGCTTCCCTTTCATTCACGAAAACTTTCTACTCTACAAAAACTATTTTTTTTTACAAAAAAAAAAAAAAAAAAAAAAAGGTAATTAAATAATTAATTATTAATGGATTGATTTTTCGTCGACTGTTTCAAAAGTTATTGTTAAAATTGAGATAATTAAAGCTTAATTATTTGCAATTTAATTCTTAAACGAAAACCAAAAATAATAGTCAATCAATCGTAATACAACGTAAAAACTTAATTTAAAAAATATTCACCTCTTAATTTTATAATTGGTACAAATGGTTGTTACATGAAAAGAAACCTGCTTCGTTGATTTTTTTTTATCATGAAATCTAAATCATTTTTTTTCTTTAATCTCTAGATAATAAAGTTTATTTTTATTGTAAGTACAATTGGAGACAAGTTTACATTGTTTGTTTTTTATTTTTTTTAATTAATCATTCATATCTATGCTGAATTTTATTTCAATTTTTTTTTTTTACCCATAAATTAAATTAGTTAAGTTAAATAAATCTGTGTATATTAGTTGTAGGAAAGAATTAAAATTTCTGATCTACTTGGAAATGAAATAAAATGACTTTTTTTCCTGAGGAAATAAATTTGATTTGAAATGTTGAAACAAATGAAAATTTATACATGTTTTTTTTTTTTATCTGCAACAAAAACAAAAAAATTTTTTATAATAAAATCATTAATATATTATTTTTTTTTTAATTTAATAAAGAATGCTTTTTTTAAGTTTTTTTTTTTTTTTTTAGTGGGGGATAAAAAAAGTTTATTTTTTTACGGTCTTTTTCTTTCTTTTTTTAATAATAATAATAAAGTAAAATAATATATTACATAACCGCCCACGCCCTGAAAAAAATCCCTAAAAATAGAAAATTATTTTAAAAAAAGCAAAAAAAATAAAATAAAATAAAATAGCCGTCATTTTATTATTTATCCGGCCACATATTGCAAGTGCCCACTTTTTTGACAGCATCTGAATTTTTCTTTAAAACGTAAACTCTATGAAATCAGAAGGTTTTCCCGATGGGGGATGAGATTATTAAACAAATATACTTAATTTAAATAGCTATTTTTCTCTGTTCATATATTTTAAGCAAAGCATTGGACATGGTCCAATAAACAATTTCAAAAAGGCAGATGATGACGCGATTATTTCTGCCATTTTCTTTGCATAGAGAAGAGAAGACATTTGCCGGCGAGGCGATCTCATAAAAGTTCATAAATAATTAAACAAAATGTCTAAAGATGAAGAAAACGTGCCTCTTCTACTTACCAGAACTTCGACTCACTCGCTTTTCCCATCCTTCAGGTAGTTCATCTCCCATGATGTTCAGCTTTATTTTTCAGTGACAAGTCTCCCGGGTAATTTCTTTTCTAATTTTCTGTTGTTGTTTTCTGCTTTTTCGGTTGCAAAAACGGTGACGGGTTAATTATTCGACTATTAAAAAAAGATCCAGATTTGCGTGTAAAGGGAGATAACTCTAAAAACTTAAAAATTGGCAAACATGGACTTATATGCCCGCAATAAGATGTAGTATCCAAAGGACGCGCTTTCCCATGACACCGCTTTTTTTTTTTTTTTAACAACCTTCTCTCTTCCTCGGCAGTGTTTATTGTTTTAAAAAGCGATGATGAAAAGTGGAATAAAACCTAAAGATATCTTGAAAATTCCTTTAGGATAGCTAGAAGCCGCAGCACAACTCTGTTCTCATAAAGTCCCTCTCACAAAAAAAAAGACAATAAGGGAGGGAAGGCAGGCCTTAAGTAGCAAGGTGGCAGACCGGTGCATCCCACCCCTTCTGGTAAAAAAGATTACAAAAACCAGTGCTCGGAGTGGTCTCGCTTTGAAAACAAACTATGGAAAACAATCTGCCTCCCACATCAGACTACAACCCAACACACGCAGGTAATTTGACTTATTTTCAAAAAAATTGGCAACAAAAATAATACACACTTTATTTATGAGATTGTTTGTTTACACTAGTTATTATATTATGGTTGGCAAAACATCAGCTAATTACCAATTGATTCAAACTTTATAAAATGGTAAATAATAAGGATTTCCTTATAGTTGGTTCATATACTTTAATAATTTAGTAAATGTTTATAAAATTAGGAATAAAAATTCTTTATGTATTTTTTTTTTTTTAATCGACTGCATCCCAACCCCAAGAATGGCAGTAAAGCCACCAAGACACAAGGAGAATTTGGGTGTGGAAGAATTAGAAAACAGAAACATTACTAAGGAGTGATAACAAAAGAAGAGTAATCAGTAGTAGTAGCATAGAATTTATGGTTAGGTCGAGCAAACTCAACTGTAAATTGATGAAACTTTGTCACCAGTCTAGTACTGCGCTTAAATTATATATATATATATATATATATATATATATATATATATGAAGAAATATAGTCTTAAGATGTGCTATATTTATGGGATAAAGTGCTCAATATCAGAGATAGAGCGTGTGTAAATATGAAAGTGAACATAGAAATCAACACTTAGAGGCGGCAGTCTGTTTCATGCTAGATGTAATCGTCATAAAGTATGATACTAAAATGTATTGTATATGAATGAAAATTATAGGCTTATGTTCACTGGTGGCATTGCATCAGTTTGCATGAGCTGATTCTTAAAATTATAAAGGCTTAGTGACCATGTTGTTGCATTATCCAAAAATAATCTTATATATTAATAGCCAATGGTCTACATAAAATATTAGCTATGCTATGCATGTGCCTAGTGAAATTCTAATAGACACACAACCCCTACCATTTTGAAGTTAAGTATGTATGTTAAGTATGTGGCAAGTCTTTTAGTCATAAATTTGATAGGTCTGCAAAGATATAAGAACAGGAGATTTCTTTATTTTCAGATTTAATGGCGGGGTGCTCATTTGAACTAATTTCAAACAATTTAGAGTATCTGGGATGCTCTAGTTGGAGGGGGTCTTTTTAAATTTGATGGGGTCTCTTTGAATTTATCAAGGACTTTGTTGCAAACAAATCACAACAAAAGTTTGAATTTTTTTCTATTATTTGATTTCTCGTTGCGATACAAGTTATTATCTTTTATTACAATGTGATAAAACCAGTAACGGGCAGAAGGGGAGGGTAGAGGGTGTGAAAGCTCCTGGCATCCATATCAGGAGGGCATCTAATCAAAGAGTGAAATAAAATTTAGTTTATATTCAATTTAAATAAAGTTTTTATTTCATATTTCATCTGTTTTCACATATTTTAAATGTCTTCCTTTCTCACAATTCTCAGTACTAGTAGCCCAATTCTTACTTGAGTCTTAGGGTCACACAATCAAGGAGTTGGCCCCAGACATCACCAAACCTCTTCATGTCACTGGATACAATCCAAGAATTTATTTTCTATCTCTATGGTTAAGAATTACTAGCTTGGCTATTTGAAGTTGACAATTTTAACAATAAATATAATTTTTTTTTTTTTCAGCTATGATGATCTAGGATAGCAAGGCTGTAAACAGCCAGAATTTTCTTTCTCCATCATCTTTATGCTCTTTTACGATGATCTGCTAGTGAATTTGAAACTAGAATTTCAGTGTAATACAGGCCCTTCATTCTAGACACATTTCTGTAGGATTTAAGGTTTGGATAAAAAATATTATGAAGTTGCTAATGAAATAAATTGGATGAGTTCCAAAATGATGAAAAATGTTAGTTGAAGTGTTTCAGGTTCAGGTTTGACCTGAAAGAAAGCATCATCTAAAAACAGATCTTTTTTTTTTTTATAGATATGGGGAGGTGAATATACATAATGAAGAGACACCCAAAATCTATTATCCCAGGGTCCTGAACCTAATATATATATATATATATATATATATATATATATATATAAAACAGAGGATGTCTATCTGTCTGTCTGTCTGTGGGATACCTTTTCACTCGAGATCCATCCAACCAATTTTGACCAAACTTGGTACATACATTGTACAATGTAAAAGATAAGTTCTTAGTATAAAAAATTGAGAATTTTTTAAAAAATCAATAATCAGTAAAGCCAATCAAAAATCGATGAATTCAACTTTTTTCCTCCGATTTCATTCAAACTTGGTATGTAGGTTACTTACATCATGATGAGCTCAACAATACCTCATTTTCATTTGTACGCCACTGCACTTAGCAAAAAAACACAAAAAATGAAAAAAATCAATTTCAACACAAATTTTAAACTAAAAATTCTCTCGATTTTCAAGCAATCTAATACAAACTTCACTTAATTGTAGCCAACAATAAGTTGATTGTTTAACAGTCATTTAACTTGATAATTGAGTCCACTCATGTCATGAAAAACCATGTAAATTGTGAAAAATTGTTATTTTTACTGGTTTCTTTCTTATTTTTCATTGATATTTCAACCAATTTTCATCAAACATAACACTTGCTTTATAAATGTATCCTCTTTTACATCCCTGCTAGCACACTGACAAATTGAATTTCAAAAACTCCAAAATAATTGTGGCCTGAAGTGGGTTTTCATGTTGCCTATTTTACCCCTTCATGTCCTCAGCTAAGTTCAATTGAATAAATACAGACTACTATTATATCAGTAACTGCATTAATTCAAAATGTTATTTAATGAAAGTACTTTAAAGTAACTGAAGAAGATAAACTGTTACATTTAAACATGATGCTGTTTTGCTCCATTCTAATTGAATGCTTTTTCTGATCGACCAGCTGGGTATGGCTGCTAGTATACAACAATTAGGATATTGGAAGAGTTTTAAATTATTTTCAATGTATTTTGCTTCATCAGGGAAATATTGAGAGCTACAAATTCTAAGTTCTCTTTAATAGAATCTAATAATTATTCCAAATTTTATTTTGCTGCTATGGCAGGAATAGAAGTTTATGAAATCATTTTCATTAGTAGATTTGCAGCAAACATTTGTGTGTGTCGGTGTGTGTTCATGAATGTGTGTGCATGTATAAAAATATATCATTAGTTCATTAAATTCAGAAATGGAAATTTTGATCCAGAAAGCATGCAGGCACTAATGATAGCCAGATCAAAATGCTGATTTAAAATAATGCAGGTCATGTGACACATGACATCACAGACACATTCCATATACCGGAGCACTGTAAGGCATTTGAAAACTTGGAATTGTGAATTATTATGCTTGGAAGCATCATGATTTAATAAAAAAAAATTATTTTTTAAATTTAATGAATTGCATTTCCATCTGAAATTCTGTGCACAAAAACAGCAAAAACAATTCCTTTGAAAATATCAATCACAGGCAATGAAAAATGGTTTGTTTACAACAATGGCAAGCAAAAAAAGCTGCATGGAAATTGAAATGGGTCACTGTTAATCACTCTAAAGTCCAGATTGCATCTGAAGGTGAGGATGATGTATATCTAGTCGGGTTGGGAGGGTATCATCACACCTTGAATTCACACAAGTACTATTCCTCGTTGGAGTAATTAAAGGTGACAATTGATGAAAAGCATCTGGAATTTATATGTCTGTTAACAAATGTTCAAAAGAAGTGGAGTAAAAAGTTTGTATTGCAAATTCAATCTCACAAATTTATTATCTTTCATTACAATGTGATACAATACAAGAGTCTGTCTAATCGCTATGATTTATAATTACTAGTTTAGTTGTTTGTAGCTGACAATTTTAACCTTTAGCACTCTACATTATTAATATTACTTTTCTTTCCACTGCATTCTTTTTCAAGGCCTCTCAATTGCAGTATCTTTATTGTTAATTTCACTCAAAGTTGTTTTCTGTTGCCATAGTAGGATATGACAACACAACTATGAAATTCAAATTCAGAGATCAGTGGCAGGATAAACTTTTATACAGTAAATGAAGTTGCATACAGAATGATAAAAGTTAAAAAATATAATTAAATCACAGACACATTCCATATATTAAAAATATTAGTTGAAGTATTTCATATTGACAACAAAAAAAAAGCATCATTGTAATGAAATGACATGCAGCAGAGAAACCTTATTTAGGTTTTATTCATCATTTCCTCAAAGATGAAGAAGAGACTCAAGGTGACAGAGATGTGGTTCTACAGAAGGATGCTAAGGTTACCATGGACTGAGTGTGTGAGCAATGATGAGGTCTTAGAGAGGTTGCAAACAAGGAGGAGGCTTATACTTAACACCAGGAAGAGGCAGCAAATGCTGGACAATTTCCTCAAAGATGAAGAAGAGACTTGAGGCGACGGAGATGTGGTTCTACAGAAGGATGCTAAGGATATCATGGACCGAGCGTGTGAGCAACAATGAGGTCTTAGAGAGGATGCAAACAAGGTGGAGGCTTATAC